TTTTTCCATGCTGGTTGAACACAAAGTTGTTTTTGCAACGAAATGTTTAAAGTTAGTTTGAAAAATCTAATAAATTATTTTCTGTGAATTCTTTCAACGAATTGTGACAAATATAGTTAATATATCCTGAAATTCCATGAAAAAATTGAGCCAATTTTAACATAAAAGTGACACTTTTTAAGCAATATCTAAATATTTTCTTAATATACCCCCACTTTCTATGTTTTTTTCTGAATATTTCAGATAAATATCACCTTTTTGTTGAAATTCAGCAAAAGTTTAAGACTTTTAGATAATTTTCTTGCTTTTTAAGTTTTCAATGCCAGAAAAATCCCATTTTGTGAGTGCAGAAAGGTCAAATAATAGATTTTTTGAAGCAATTTGTAAATTTTCCTTAGTCACAATTTTGAAGACCTCTCTCTCTCTCTCTCTCTCTCTCTCTCTCTCTAAATAGACTTATGGTTTATTTTGTCTTTGCTTTATTTGGATTATAATATTGGAGAGAAAAAGGTCGAAGGTTTATCATTAAGACAAAAATTTCAGTGCAAAAAGGTCATATTAAATCCATTGTAGCGCCAAAAGATGCATATTGACCCCCATTTTTTGATTTAAATTTTAATTAAGCTGTGTGCGTAGAAACTAAAAATGACTAGACAAAAAAGTTTATGACTTTAAATATCAGGAGCCAATCTCGTTAATACAGCGATTGCTTTTATATTCTAATAAAAACTATTTCTTTGCTACATTTCATTCAGTTTAAAGATGTCTAATCATATTCATATTATTTTTCTTATAAGACTTCCAGATGGAAGCACTGAAGACCTCTTGTCAAATAGACAAAGTGTATTCGACAACCTTGCTCCGCTTTCCACGTACTTTCAAAAACTATGTACATGTGACAGAGGTAAAACGTATTGTAGTTACAAACAGTACTCGGAATGTAAGACAGAAACTAGAGGAAAGGAATACCGCTGTATCCTACATAGCAGCCCACGACGAAAAAGAGACATTTCTGTTCTTTCTGAATATAAAGGAAATATACAACAGTTTAAAAATATTCTACAAGTAATATACGTTGATCATAAATGCGTATTTGATTGATTATATATATATATATATATCAACATATTTTTTAATTATGTTTTTGATATTTTACAGAGAGGGAAAAGACAAGTTATTAGTGTTAATGATGCAATAGATATCTGTCAAGAGGCCTTCCAAACGTCCTCGCACTATGACACTTGTCTTCAAGTTGTTCCCAATTTCAGCAATGAAAGCTTGGTGAACTGCATAAATGACTTAACTGTAAGTTTGCATCATTTCATTTATGACAGTTCACAATTAAATCGGATTCTGTAATCATTATGTAATAAATGTCCTGTAATAGAACTGATGCGCATATAATTTATTTATAAAGATGACTGGGGACCGGAATCTCACTACGTTACATCTGGACACAGCTCTTGGACAATGTCAAGCTTATATCTTGTTAAATTCAACGTTAGTTGAAGAGCAACCTGACGTGACCGTAATTATCGTAAATCTCTGCCAGAACAACTGCAGCAATCGAGGAACTTGTTCAGGAGGTAAATGGTCAACTATTCACACAATCAGAAAGATTATGTAGAACATATCAATACTGGAAATATATAAAGTACTAAAATACTATGAAAATTTACAAATCTTTACAGGAAACTGTACCTGTGATTCTGGTTTTGGCGGCAGCGACTGCTCGTTTGATACTTTGTCACCACCAACAATAACTAGAATTTCTGACGATGGTTTATGCGATAAATCAGAGGAGTCCTGTGATGATATCACATTGTACGGCCAATATTTTCTTGAAAACATGGGGACTACTTGTTACATGACCAGACGAGAGGTAAAATTAGATTGTGAAAGTCACAACATCTCTCTCTCTCTCTCTCTCTCTCTCTCTCTCTCTCTCTCTGTGTGTGTGTGTGTGTGTGTGTGTGTGTGTGTGTGTTTGTTTCCTTTGTCTTTTTCTCTCCGTCTACCTTTTTTCCTCTGTCGGTCGGTTTCTGACAGTAATCAATAGTTTACTATTAAACTTAAAACCTTTCATGTTTTTATTTTAGTTGACCGAAACGAACACTGTTTCAGCTCAAGAGAAGTACACTGTTAACCTCGAGGAAAGAACGCTGTATGAAGGATATTGCAAGCTTGAATATGCATCTACACATTCGTGGGTCACATTATTTACATTCAACATATCAAATGATGGAAACCAGTTCTCCAAATTGTTCGAGGTGTATGTTTATCAGTCCAAGTGTCAGATATTCAACAACGTTACTGGAAATGTAAACTTCACTTTGCAGGCAAGTATAAATACATGTGATATCTAGTTTTCTTTACTTCAGTCATGCAATTTAGTTTTCATTTATGTGTTTATTGTTGATAATTTAGGATGGATATTGTCACATCAATGGAAGCTGTATTCAGAAGGGAGAATTGAAAAGCAATGATTCATGTTTACAATGTGACCCATCAAAAGACAAATTTGGTTGGACTTTGGGTATATTTTATTTTCACTTCCAAACAAAGAATAATTACATTTGTAGATTATAAAAGCTTTGATTATCCAATAAAACTCATCTAACATCCGAAAAAGTGTAGTATCGGTGGCATTATGAATAAATGAATATTATATAACCGTCTTTCCAGATTGCGCAAGTAATGTTTCAACATCAACAAACATAGTTGGTAGTACATCTTCAACAACAACTTTGTCAACAGAAAGAACAAGTTCTGCTTCAACAAGCAGCATTTCTTTCACATCAACACCAACGCAGACGACAGATTCAAGAAGTAATTCGAATAATATAATGACGTCTACACCCTCCACTTCGACATCGATCCAACATGGAACATCTCAGCCATCTGGATCATTATCCACCGAAAACACCATTGGTTCCACAATGACAACTAAGACAGAAAGTTTCACAACTAACGGAGTGCAGACGTCATCAACAGCTAAATCCACCTCTACAGAAACGAGATCATCCACTTCTACTTTACCATCAACACCAACAACTTCAACAACAGCAACTTCAACAATATCTACAACAATCACTAGAGCTATATCCACCTCTACAGAAACGAAATCATCTACTTCTAATTTACAAACAACACAACCAACAATAACAACAACATCTACAACCTTCACTACAGCTAACTCTGTCAACCAAGCAAGTACAAAGAACACGCCAAATCCAGGAAGTAAAGGAAACCAAAATTCAAGTCAAGATGAAGGAATGAAGGATGAAACAATTGTTTTAATAACTGCTGTCGGAATCGTTGCAATGATAATAATAGCCATTGCTGGATATATGGTGAAATCTAAATGTCAGAAAAATACAAAGTTAGTAGAAACCAAATAATTAAATTTCATTTTTCCATACATTGTTTTATTATAGATGCACGCTCCAAATTAAATCAAACCTAAAACTAAGATTTTTTTTTTCAGAAGAATATTTTATATGCAAGGCTAAATCATAATATAATATTAAGGTTTGAATTCAATCCGTTACAGAGGAGATGGCCATGTTTCTACGTCTAATCTTCAACCTGATGATGAGGTTAACATCTACCCAGACAACAAGGGTGTGGCATCACGAATGAACTTCCAATCTGATAACCTATTTCAGTTTGATTCCAAGGAAGAAATGTATTCCAGGCCTCCTTCTGCTACTTCCATGAGACGGGATCTGCCCACTAATAATCTGAGCAGTATATATGACCAGCAGCATCTCGACAAATTATTTAGTGTTAATCATTAAAATGTGCAAATACAATTATAAAAGGGTAAATTCAAACTGACGTCTGTATTTTCTACGCTTCTTCGTGAATATAAAATGCATTTACTGCCTTACGTAAGACAAAAGTCATGTCTAAAGATATATTTTGCTCTAATCTGTTATTACATACATGTACATGTCCATTTGTAGCTATTTGGATCTTATGCTGTCCAATATTTTCTCTTGGTTTTGACAAATTCTTGGTGTTCAAAATGTTTTATAAAATGAAGAATGTGTTATACATTTGTAATCAGTATACCGTTATTAACTTTACATACCAGGTTTTTAAATCTTATTTTCTGTAAAGTTTTATCAAATTTTCTGGGTTTTATATAAAACGCAGAGCAATAAGCATAAAATATATGATATGTTCGTGTGTTTCCTTTTATTTTTGTACAAAATAAATGACAAAAAGAGAAAAAAAATTGAGGCATAGGATAATCCCCCTTAATTTTTCATATATTCTTTTTGTAAATTTAATAATTTAGAATACGTACAATCTAATATCATGCAAACTTTAAAGAAATTGAGCAATAGTTTTTTTTTATAAATATAGCAAATGTGTGTGCATTAATTGTTTTTGGACCTTTCTGCACCAGTTAAACATTGTATCAGATGAATTAGTAATCTGAACAGTCATTTTTTTTATTACAATAAAGCTTCCAGACCACAAATTTGATCTGCTATCACAAATATTTTTTTTTAAAAAAAAAAGGAATAAAGGGTGTGGCCGAGTTGATTTTCAGGTTTAGTCTAATTTACCTATAGTAAAATCTTTTTAACCAAGTACACGTAATATTCGTGTATTGCATTCCGATGAATTGTTACACAATAAAACATTGTGTGTTTTTTTTTATTTCTTTATATAAATATCGCCACAATAAAGACTTTGGTACATTTGTGTTCTGGGCCTAATTAAGTTATTTACGCTTGTGTACATATATATTTTTAAAATGATAAATCTAAAATGTGTTTATTAAACAAATGAAGAAAGTTATTTCAGGGTTTTTTCCCATTTTTCTTTTATTTGAAATAGTATCATAACTTACGTCTTGAAAGGAAAAGCAAGCGAAATTTTACTAACAAAAAGCTCTAGCATATAAATAGCAATTCACTAATAATCAATCCATTGCTGAAGTAAAAAGAAAATAATATCACTGTGCATAAAAAACTCATTAGTTAAAAAAAGTATTTTTGAAATCTCCGAGCAATATGAAATATATTAAGCAAAAAAATTATAGACGTAATGAAAAATAAGTAAATTGAGTTCCTCTTTACATTGTACGTGTCCCCCAGCTTTGTTTTTAATGTAATATACAAATTCTTACTAAATGGAGATCATTATTTTCAATGTTTTAATATATGTTAATTAGCTTTAAGCTATTTCTGTTCTGTAGCTCTAACAATTGCAAAACCATCTAATCAAAGGATCTGTATCTCATTTCATGGCCATCACCTCTAACTCCAAAAGATCCAGCATTCCACTTCCTGAAATAAGAATCAGAAATACGATCAAAATTTAAAAATTGTTCAATTTCAGAAAATTTTTGAAGTCATCAATGCATTTTAACGACACGTTTCAAACGGACAATTTTGTAAAACTAGAAATATAGCACATGGCTTTTAATCTAGTACTCACCTCTTGGCCATTGCACCAACAAACACCCCTATCACGATTAGAAATATGAAGGCTAGAACTATGAGAACTATAGCGGCTTGTGAAATCTCCAGTTGTACTGGAACATCAATAACAGTACCAGTAGTGTTGATACTCTCTGTTGTCTGTATTACGTCAGACATCTTAGTCGGTGTCATTATTTTGGTAGTGTGTTGTTTTCTGGTAGATTGTTTTGTCGTCTGAAAAACAACGGAAGTTATTGGTGGGGCTGTGTTAGTAGGTATCCGCGAAGTCAGTTTGGAAGTTGTGGAAAGTGTTTGTTTAGAGGTAGTTAGAGCAGCTGTTGTTTTAGTGTTTGTTATTTTCTCTTTGCTAGTTGTTGCTGATGAAGAAGCCATTGTTGTTTTTGGATTACTTTCTGTTGTCACTGATTTTGTCGTCATTTCTTTAGTTGTCAGCATCTGAGTTGTAACACTTGTGTATCGTGTGGAAGTTTCCACCGTCATCGAACCACTGGTCGAGTACTGAAATAAGATTAATGCTTAAAAAATATAATATGCATTCATTTATTCAAAAAACTAATTTGTTAGGAGAATTGCTTGACTTACATCTGCTTTTGAAACTGCAGTTTCTGTGCTGCCTGAGTAAAAAAAAAAAAACAAAAGACAGAGATATTGAATCTGAAATACAATATATAGTAAATCGAATTATATGCATTCATCGATTTCATGGTCTTCTCAAGAATTTTTCACTCATATGGAGCCAACACCACTTGCCGGTTGAGAGCTCAAAATGTTGACTTGCATTCGGAACTGAGGGTCATGAAGCAGTTAGGGATTTTTTTTGCGCTAGGGCCGGCCCTACAGTGACACGGGAACTACATGTAGGTTTGTAAGTTTCATCCGAAGGAATTGTATTTAGACGAAGGATTAAATCCCTACCTCGCGACTCTACAACACTGCGCCATTTAACAGGTGAATAGCATCCATCAAATAAATAATTATATATATATATATATATATATATATATATATATATATATATATATATATATATATATATATATATATATTCTTGTTGCATAAAATATTATTCTTTGTATCATGAAGCAAGGCTTTTTGAAAATTGCTCGAAAATTTACTTCAGTTCATAGGGGAGAGAGAACAGTATCGCTTAAATGTCAATATTTTAACTTAACCAATGACAAGTGTTCCAATGTTTACTTATAAGAATAAATTTTAAAAAGCTCCAGTGAAATAATAACCTTGCTAATTTCGTTCGATTACCTAGAACAGCAACGTTTAGAAATGTGCAACATGTGTATGTGCGGTATAGAAAGGATAACTCTGTTTATCTCGTAGCTTCACTACATTCATTATTTTACATAATGTAAGACAAACCTTCAACTAGAGACCACTGAAAGACATTTCTGTTAGCATCACAGATCAGGCTTTCATTCTCCTTCTTAGCCTGACCGTCCACAATACATTGACCATCGATGAAGCAGTAACCATCCTAAATCAATCATAGATAAAGCATACATTTCTCTTTACATAACGAGAAAGAGGAAATCAATTTCGAATTTCTAACATCAATTTTTTTATGATATAGAATCATTTATTGAAATTCTGATGATCGTTTTCAAAGGAAAAATAAAAAAATAATACTAAATAAAAATGATAATCAGCAACAAGGTAGTTTTAAGAGCTTTCATACATTATTCAGTTATATTCAGTTGAATTTTGTTATTTATTATTTTCAAATTACATATTTATAGATATAAACACATGAAAAAATAATAATTAAGCTGTTACAATATCTATTCGTAAATTTCCTTCGAATAAATTTTTCATACAAGATAATTCAGTAATGAAAAGTCACTTGCAGTTAATCCAAAGGTGCCCATCCAAGAATTATTCCGTGGTATTTGACACTCGGAGTCATAAACAAAAACCGACAACGTCCGTGTGAATTTCTGACCATCGTTGGAAACATTGAAAACAAACTGATGTATCCAGGATGTTGTGTTAACGTTGGGATTAGGGCAGTTCGCCTCATACAGTGTTTGTACATCAAGGGGTTCCTCGAATGTCTTCCTGCTCTGGATTTTACCAGCAAGGGAAAACTAGCAAAGAGCAATTTTTATAAGAAAAATATATCTTTTAATTTTTTTCCTTAATTTTTTTTTTGCAGCATTCAAGTCAACAAAATCGATCAAAAATAAATAATTTTATTTTACATGTCATGGAATTATATATCGACTTACATCATTAGTTTGGATGTAGCATGTAGCATTGGTGTTTTCTACAAAGTACTGTCCAAAGAAGGTGATGGAGCTACATATTTCCGTAGACTTGTCGCACAATTCACCGACCAGCACCTCCGTTATATTTGGAGGTTCCGTCATATTAAACGAACAATCACTTCCACCGAACCCGTCATCACAGAAACAGCTTCCTGTTCAAGAAGTTAACAGTTTACGTTATTCTTACTCATAAAATATACCTAACACCACAGTTAGAGTCACTTGGTATTTATATTAACACTGAAAGACATGTCAATAGTATTCAGCCTTTTTGAAGAATTTTCGAATTCTGTAGACGTCTTTTTTTCCTCGGGGTCATAATTCCGCGGAATCTCAACTTCTGTTTTAGTAGAAAATTACGCGGATTTCTTAGACTGTCTCTTTATGTCTTACATTTATATTAAGTTCGCTTGGACTAATTTCCGCGGAAAATTTGTGACCGCGTACATAGCGTAAATTAATATCACGCGGAAAAAAGTACTTATACAGTAAGTCATGAACTGATATCTGCAGTTTGATGTCAATACGTTTGATTGATTGGTTATGTTGTTTAACGTCACTCTCGAGAATGTTTTACTCATGTGGCGATGCCATCACTTGCCGGTTGAGTGCTACAAATTTTGTCCTAATTTCGGCACTTAGGGCCATTGAGCCATGCGAGATTTTTTTGTGCCAGCACCTACCCGACACGGGGCCTCGGTTTATACGGTCGCGTACGAGGGACCAGTCTCGACGTCCCACAGTGGGATTCGAACCCGCGACGTAAGGATCAACTTCTTACTTCGCGACTCTAGAGCAGACGTTCTAACCACTGCGCCAAACATGCGACCAATACATTTGAGGACAACAAAATAAGTAAACAAAGCATGACAAAAAAGAGAAAATAAAGTAAAACGACACATACAGAATTTTCTGAATAGAATACCAGATTCTGCTCAGCGTATCTTATTATCTTTAAAGGGCGTTTCTTATTTGTATTTTCGGATAATATGTTAAAAATGTGTTATTTAAAAATATAATAAAGGGAATTAAAAAATTATGCAGATCACACGAAAAAACTTAAATTTATATTAAAAAAATAAAAAAAAAACTAACCATCTCTGCATGTTCCCTGCAAACTGCAATTATTTTGACAAATGCTTGTTATTTCCTTTGCTACTTCCGGTTCTGTCTCTTGAAGCGTTTCATTGAGGTTGATGAAGGCTTTACATTGGTCGATGGCGCTCTCTAAGTGAAAAGTTACTAAGGAAGGATCTCCTGTTAACTGACAATTTAGAAATATACATGTTTTTAAACAAGGGTATTTAATACTGAAACGTTTCTGAAGAATGTTTGATACACCTTACGACTCCCCCATTCTTTGATACAAAATTGGAGTTATTAAGTAAGGTTGAAGGAATTATGATAAAATTTAAATGGTCTCACCGAAACATCTAAGATACAATCCTTTACGGAATCACTTGAAAAATCAGCGACATTATCTCGACACGTTCTATATGCAAAGGAGGCTTCGAATGCAGCGCTGCATATAGTTGTTGCGTTGTCAGTTATATCATAAGCTTGTCTTTTTACTCTCTGCAATAATACCAAAAAAACTTACCCATAAAGGAAATAAATCGTACTGATTAATGATTTTGATTTGATTTAAGGTCCGAAGACATGTTTGTCAAATACCTGTCAAATATCATTTCTTCCTTTTATACTAAATTTTTTAATCATTATTTATATCTTCTAATTTCTTAGCAATTTTTTAAATTATGAAATTATTTGAACAGAATATGGGGATGAAAATAAGTCAAGTACATTTAATTTTTAGAAGAATCCTCCTAAATCATGCCCAAAGGTCATGAAATGTTCTTTTTATTATAACATTTTTAATGAGGAGGAACTTCAGTTTATAATTAATAACAATTATATATTTTCAAGGAACGTGTCTGCTTAATTTAAACAAAATACTTACGTTTGAAAACGTAAGCTCAATAGGATCCGGGGAGAAGGATAAGATGTATACTGCATGACGCTTGCGTCTGCTGGTACTACTGTGAAGTATGCATTCATACTCCTTTCCCCGCGTCATACCGCTACAGTCGGTGAATTGTTGATAGCTGCATTCAGTTACGCCCTGGTTACACGCACAAAATTTAACATTCGTCAGCGATAAAGATTTCAAGGATGAAAAATCCATGGAAGGAGCAAAAAGATCCTCTGAAAAGGTAGCTCTGAAAAAAATATACTCATAAAGACAAAAAAAATTTCAGGTCTATACAATATGAATCCTTTTACCCAAACTTTTACTATTAAGTATTTTCTTTCAATCATATTCCCTGATGAAACAATAACATTTTTGTGTGCTGTAGAAGGTGCATACATATGCACATTGGAGTTCAATGAAAAAATATCTTGGTATTCTATAACAAATTATCTTTTAAAAAAAATGATTTAAAAAGTTTTCAGCTAAGAGAGCATTTAGCATTTCAATAAAAGCGTGATGTCAATGATATTTCCAATCTATCCCCTCAATTTATGTGTCGTATTAAAAAGAAGATTATACCTCCATGAGATGGAGAATGCATCCGGAGGATTACGGTAATTATAATTGTTTGGATTGTCAACTGTTCCAGATCGTCGTGTTAAATCATTTCGGGTATTGCCATCTAAGAGACCACATAATCCACCCGATTTCCCCACGTCAGCAACAGACGGATACACTTGTGTCTGAATAAACCAGTCCCTGGCCATATTGAGAGTGGCGTCCACGTAAGTTCCAGTGGGAAAGAATATCTGAGAATTTTAAAAGAGATAGTTAGTGTTGCCAAAAGTTTTATACAGCAATCTAGCTACTTTACATTTAATACATAAAAGAGAAAAACAAACCAAAACAACTTATACAGAATTCTCTTAAAAAAGTGTTATTGTATTTTTTATTCATTAATTATATTTTTATTTCATCGCAGGGAGACATATTTCATTTGATAGAATCACTAAACCTTTTTACTCTTAGAATATATTCATACTTATATTGATTATACCTTGTACGATTTGTCTGTCACCCTCACCACCTTTAATGACTTATCATCACAGATTGGAAAGTTAATGTATTGGCGTCCATTACAGGCATCAAACATGAACACGTCTCTGCCAGAGCGAACAGCTATAGCACAGATACATCTAGCATTAGGATTAAAGCATTTGTGGTGCCTCACTTGTACCTTGAAATTAGATATTTATCCAGGTAAATATTAAATACATATATCTGGATAATATAATATTAAATACATAAAAAAGAACATTATCTTTTTGAAAGATTCTATTTAAACAACATAGATTTTTTTTAAAGCGATCCATTATTTTCACAAGCAGTGATTTTTGTCCAATATAACGCTTTGCATTATAAATATTCGAGGAAATAAAATATTCCGTTTGACTGAATCAAGATACCTGCTGATTTTGTTCTTTGTTCTCAAAGAGGATGCTTGTTATTCCTGTCACACAGCCTGTATGCTGGCATTCATAGGCGCTGTGAATCAAAAACAAAATTTGTGTGTCTTTTTTAGAAAAAGATAGAGTACGAGAAAGCTGTCCTCAACTAGGGAAATTGCAGTTAATTTGATAAGTCATTGCCTTTCCTATACAAGGGTTGAACATGGAAATAATTTGACCTTTGCTTTGTATGCATTGTTTTCAGATATCAATCGTATATTATATAATTGATATACACATGTATTGACCGGTCAGCAGGGAATGTTCATTCCTCCATGTCTTCTGATGCAACCTCTGATGTTTTGGAGGTCTGTGTTTGCTCTGCTCTTATGTTGTATTGTTTAACAGATTTTCTGAGCTTGAATAATATTCGTTATCTATATATAGTTCAAACTAAAGAAATAAATATATTAGAGATTAAGGGAAATTTCTAAGGAACTGAAATTGACAAGGCCCTGACTTACTATCCATCAAATGTTTTCATATGGGGATCAGCGTGAGAGTGACATCGCTTTCCTTTCCAGACAGTCATTGATTCCACAACGTTTATCTAAAATGAATATATTAAATTGATAAAAATAAGTTCTCTTCAAGTGTATTAATTAAGTTTAATAATCATGCTTAAATTACTATTAACATCGATTTCGTATCAATATCAAAAAAAAAATAAAATTATTTTACTTTTGAAGACGCAATTACCCTAAACTATAGGATAAGAAATTGTCAAGTAAACTTATCTTTTAGAAATTTTAACTTCAAAGTCAATATTTTAAGGGAAGATATGATGTAACACATAAGATGATTCTTCTACATGTATCTACAATCTTATTTTATCAAACATTCTTTGCTACTGTTTGGTTGAAACATTTAATTTATTTATAATGGTTGAGTATTTTTGAGAATACTCAAATCACTTGCCTTATATTTTTTTTCAATTTCAACCAAAAAAAAAAAATATGCAGACGCGGTTAGACCGCATGCCAAATGGTAGAATAGTTCATTTTTTTCTGGTCTTTTAACATGGTTAGTTTTCACATTAGATACGAATCTTCGTATATGTAAATATATGATTTGATATTTTTTTTATTTGTACAGGGACGGATCTCTCTTCAAGCTATATTTCTGCTACTGTCTCTGAAGATGCACATTTTCCCCCTTCGGAACCCCCTTGAAGCAAGATTAACTCGTAATGTGTACTTAAAGACGATAGGTAGCTGTTAAAATAATGTTACTGATGACTTTACTCACGTTGATATCAGGTAGAGTGACTTCGTTAAAGATATCAGCAGCATTTGCGCCCCCTCCACTTGTTTTCATCCTTAATATAATTTGCCTGACGTTGTTGTTGAAAGCGATATTGTCTGTATTATGAACCTTCATTTCATATGTTTTATACCAAGAATTATCGGCAAACTTTTGTCTCTGGTCGTAGGTTATTCCTTCTATGGTTATTTTACAGCGATTAGAACTGCCAGACGCACATTTTGCTCCTATTTGATCAGGAAAGGATACGGTAACATCTAAGCTTGCTGCAAAGTAATTCTTGGCGCGTTTACTATAGAAAGTTTCTGTGGCAAATGGAATAGTTGGGCGTATCTTAACTGTTGCTGATCCTTTTCGTTGCAAAGTTAATGTAGGCGTCAACACCTTGAAGTAAAATTATTTTAAATCCTTAAAATAAATTGTGTCCTTCACAGGTTAAGAAATGAGTGATTAATAAGAAATTATTCGTAGTTTGCATTAGCCTGATTAAGTTGATTAGGCCGACATAAAATAAGTTGATTGGTACATGTACTGTTGTGTATTCACAAATCTTAAATACCTGTTTTGTTTCTTTTAATTTTATATTTTACCTGGAACCCAGCAAAGAACAGAGAACTGGAAGAACTTGTACATGGCTTTTCTTTTTCTGTCTTTTTAGCGCCAACAATACACTGAACCTGCAAATTACAATAGTATGATGGTCATCGCATGGGAATTGCTGTTCTTGGTTCTTGATAATGCATCTATTAAGAGCAAGACTTAATCAAGCCATGATTTTTTCTTTATTTTCTTACCCGAAATATGGCTGTAATATTGCCGGCTCGGTGTTAAATAATGATAAATTAAATCAATCAATCATTTATTCTCTTAACCTATTTATCTTCAAACAAGCACAATATTCTTTAAATCAACTCCTTCAAATATTTCATAATTATAACATTAATGTTAGTTTTCCCACAATCTTTCTGTTGTTTACCGAGGCTCCAATCTTTATTTTTTCGTCACTTAGAAGCTGAGTAGACAATGTGGCATTGTTAAGTGAAGAGGATGTTACAGTCTGACCGGATATAACAGTTTTCTTATTAACATCCCAGTCTATGTGATAGAGTAAGGTCTCGTCGTCCAGCGGCGTAAAATCACATCTAAGGTTAACAAGAGGGCTGTATTGTATGCCAAAATCGTTTTCTGTTTCGGTATACTCCACGTTGTGATATATCACTCGTGGATTTTTTGGCACTTCCTCAATACCTTAAGTGGAAAATATATAGATTACAGGGGGGTAAGATTACCTGGCATAAGCAGATTTAGTGGAATGGACTTAAATTTAAAATTTAACAAGTTTTGTTAAGTTATAGATTGTATTTTTACTTACAATTCGCATCTTTCTCTGAAAAGAGGACATCGACTTTATTGATGCTGGTATTAACGGATCAAGGATATTTTTGTACGAAACTCTTGGCATATTACGTAACATGCAAAAAATTACGATTAATGAAAAAATACTTTTTAAATCCATTTGTAAAAGATTTATTCCTTATCTAATATTTAGAAAAGATTTAATCATATGTAAATTTATCTGAAAATTCATTCATGAAAAGAATTATAATAAAGTGTTTCCTTATTTATCTTAAATAAAAAAAAATACATTACACATACCAAAGCAGTAGGCTGAGTTACACAGGAACAGAGGCATGAGATAGTAGACATTAAACGATCCACAGTTGGTAACATTGACGTAGATGATCTGTTGGCAGTCTGTAGCAAATCCTACCTCGCAGGCTTCTAGAACTTTACTTGTACCAGCAGTTTCCGGGAGCGCACCTGGGGAAAGAGGTTTAAGGCAGTCTCGTTTAAAGTCACATTTGAGTAAGTTCTATAATCGATATAATGATTTTGTCAGCAAATACAATTTTTCATTGAGCAAAATGCTGACTGATGTTTTTCATATTAATTTTTAGTCCATTATTTATACAATGTATTGACAACGGATTTGCCCGTTATTTCCCGATCATGACAAGGAGCTCACACGGCGGATTTGAGCGGTCGGCAGGGGATGCTAACTCCTCCATGGCACATGATCCCACCTCTGATGTTTTTGAGGTCTGTTCTGCTCTGCTCCTATTTTGTTTTGTTTTATGGACTTTGATATTGAATACTGTTCGTTATATCCATATTCTTCATTTAACCTTATTTAAAAAGAATTATCTCTAATAGATTTATAACAATTGTAGATTATGAACGTTTTGATAATTGACAGATTTCCCCCCTGAATTGTACAGTTGAGTAAGTATATAATTATGTTGCTCTTTGTTTACGAAAATATACCAACTCAGACTATCTACGGCTGATGAACCACTACAGAACAAAAAAAAATGGAATATATAATTTTGAAAATCCTATCTTTATTATTACCGTAAAGCTGGAAATTTTATCGTCGATTTTATTTTGCGAATTCGGGTTAAAATGTTTTGATTAATTTTTACGTTTCAGAGATATTAAATCTTTTTCAAAGAAAAAATACTATTGTATTATCTGTCCTTAAGAAAAATATTTTTGAGAATGCACTGAACTCGCAAATTTGCTAAAAAATTATGTACAGCAAAAAATTTCAGATATACGGTATATAATTTCTGGGTAAAACACAAGCCTATGGAGGACACTTAAGAATGTTTCTTTTTAATGAAATGAAAAAACATTGAAATGAATTTTATTTTTTATACATTCTATCTTAATCCTTTTATAACTTACCCTTTAACCAAAACGGATACAGAGTTCCACAAAACCCAATACTGGGTGGGGATGTTACCATCTCATAGTTAGGAGCTTTATACCATCCTTTCTCGAGATAGCGATCGCAGATTGGAGCAGCGTCCTGAGCAAAGTCGGGACTACGTTTTGGTAAATCCGAGAGAATCTTGTAGTTTCCTTCTAAGCATGGATCAATTGATAGTATACCTTCGAATGTGAATAAAAATACAAAAGAAATATATTTTATGTCGATCTAATAAAAAAGATCTGAACGTTTAATATCCTCTGCATTTCTCCTTTGAAACATATTTTGAAATTAATATTGATTGTCGCATTTTACAACTCTTTTGTTTACAACATTTCAAGGGCATTGCGTATGCTGTAGCCATTACAGTCACTTGTTGATAAACGCTTATAATCTTGAAGAATTAAACTTACTAATGATATTAATGAAGACGATATAAGACTTGGTGATTAATGGTAAACTGCAGGTAGCCATTGGGCGAGCTACAAAATTAAAAATGATAAACTTAAATATTTTAATGATATACTGAAAAACGTTATCGGCGATTATTTATCAATGTCGAGTTTAGAAAACCCTAAGATAAATCAAGAACGTTGTGGTTAACAAGGAAGGAAAATATCGGTACTTTTTGATGAAAAGATGACTTTTTACCATTGTCATTTACCAGATCATAATTAATTACGCGAATAAAATTGTGTCAAAATATTACTTTCCCTTAACGATACTCAAAATATTAAAAGTTGTTTAAGCATTATAAATGTTTGAATTTTGATATCCTGCTTAAAAGATTTTTTTATTACTTTATGCTATTGTTCAGCTCCTATTTTAATTTCTTATCTGACACTTATTTCGTGTCTTCCAAAGCAAATCATGAACTTTGTCATAATAACCATATTGAAGGCGGAGGAGGGGTGAATCATTTAAAGAGCTCATAAACCTCAAGTTTAATAATACTTTTTGCCGAATAATTATTCCGTGAATTTGAATTATTTATGATATTCAATTTAACAATTCAAATGCATAAGTTTATAAAATTATGCATAAGTAATATGCATGTAAGTCCGTCCGACTGTTAAGCAATGGGGTACCTATTTCTTATCCTAAACTCCTATTATACCTGAATGAATTTTAATTTACTTTCACAGAATAAAGCCATTTTGAACCTTCTATTTTACTTTTTGATTTGACACCTATTTTGGGTTATTCGTGGCGAAACATGGACACTTCCTTTTTTTTAATTGAAGGATTTCCATTTCTTATCCGTAACTCCTCCTATACATGTACCACTCAATTCAATTTCCAATAGTTTCAATATTCCTTCACATATAATCATTTTTGACTTATGCAAATATTGAATTGTTTAGGGTGTGAATGGGATGAACTTCACCTCCGGTTATTTACAAATAGAGTTTGTTTGAACGCACCTTCTCCTTGAATGCAATTCCGTTTATTGTGGCAGATAAGAAGAGGTATGAATAACCAGTTATTCAGAGGGAAAACGACTAAAACTTAAAGTAATCTATTTATTTATGAGAGATAAAAAAAAATCTATAATGGTGAGATCTGCTTAAAACAAATTATAACACTAGATACTGCCGAAGTAAATATTCGTGGTAAATTTATTCAGTAATTAAATTTTGGTATGTGTCATAATTTCTTCAAAAATAATTTTTAAAACGGAACAAATTGCATACTGATCTGTCATTTATCAATAAAGAGTCACATTTTTAAAAAAGGCATATACAGACATACACAAATATAGAATAAATAAATAATAAATCTGGAATTTGCGCAAGCTACACTGGCTTACATGGAATTGACACACAGTCCGACAGACAATGAATATACCCTCAGTGTACTGCAGTTCTCCTAATGAATGTGGACATAAATATACATGTAAAAGCAATAATTAGATCGATGTTCTCTCATGAAGCAAAAGTAGTCTTTATCTATACATATCGCTACATTAAATCGTTTATCACACAGTGTAGGGAACTAATTTTGTTACAGTTTTGATGTGATTTGAATACTTCTTTTGCATGCTGATTTAATGCTAGTAATCCTTATCCTGGTGCTGTTCTATAATTAGTTCCAAGTTACCAGAAGTAGCATCGTGCCACCAAAAGTAAATAATTGAATTTCAGCACTGCCATATAAAGCAATTAAAGTGCATTTAATTTTTAAAATTATTTTACAATAATATTCTACTTTGTATTAAATATTCGAACAATTTTGACCTGTTTTCTTTCCCTGTTTGTGTTCTTATTTAAAAGAAAAAAATAACTGATTTTTCTGATCCTAGAAGGATAATGCTGATTTTAAGTAGGCCAATGTTATTTTATCCTTTGCTTGCTGGTGCTGATACTTATGCTTATACTGATTTATGTAACAAAGTTAGTTCCCTACACTGTAATAGGAGAACCCTTCAAACTTATGTATGCAAAAAGTATCAGTATGTACAGCAGATGAAAAATATTTAACCACACAAGAGATCGAACTTTTAATAAGACACAGATCCTTCCCAAATTAAAAATTTCTATAACAGAAGATCCACATACTCGATCTTTAATACATATTTAAAGTTTGACTATTATCATATACTATATATACAGCAAAAGAAACTTTATATTTTATTATAGCAGCGGGAAGATTTTAATTTAGTAAAATATAACCAGAACAAGTGATCTTTTGAAAAGAAATAAACAAGGCCCTTAGATGAAGAAGACTGCGGTCAGTCAGAGATAGCGGGGAAATGAATGTAAGTTATAAAAACAATGATGTATTGATTGCATAAACTCACATGTCTAAGGACGTATTTCCACATTGACTCTATTAAATTCTTTTGGGATATAATTTTACTATTCCTGTCTACATGCTAAAAAACAATAAACAATTTTAAAATTACATTTTCTTCCACAGGGGAAAAACGAAATATTTCTTCGTATTTAACACTTATGATAAAATAGTCAAGAGTTCAAATCTATATAAGAAACCTGTATAAGAAATGCATAAACTTAAAAAAATAAAAATTATTCTACGTTTTTCCTTATAAAAAAGCCTAGTTAAGCAACATGTTATAATGTCTTTTTTTTCTTTTTTTTTTTTTGCAGAAAAGTAAATTTGCTTGCATAATCTGATAAGTAAAAGAAAAATCTTTAAGTAATTAGGGGATACGAGTTGTTCGTTATAAATGACAAAGGTGTTGGTAATCTATAGTGACAAGTAGGTTTAAAGGCAAGGTATCGGTTAAATTACATCATTTCATATTATAAATTAAAATTTGAATATACTTACTGCAATGAAAATTATTTATGCTTATTTTCTTTAATTATGGCATTTTTTAGGAATAAATACAAAATAAATACAAATTATTATAAAATTGATGAATGAATACATAATATAAATGGTTGGAATAATAAACTTACCAAATTTAAAGACGGAGGCCCACAATTAAAGGTTGTCAAGTAAAAAAAATGCATATATGGTCAACGGCATCAATGAACATCCATTAAATTTGCTAGAAAAAGATGAGGCAATGTATAAAATATACAATGCTTTAATATATTCACGTGTATGAAGTGCATTTTATAAAGTAAAAGGAGCGCTGTAGCATTTCCCGTTTTGTAAATAGGAAGTGTGGTTTTATCATGTTATGTATTGTGAATTGTGGTTTTGAGAATTAAATGTTAAAGTAGGTTTTCCTCCAAAAATTGTACTCACGTCAGGACAAACCCTGGTCATCTAAAGTCAAGATAATAAATAAGTATTGTAATTTGGTTATATGAGTTGATCTTTTATTTGATAAAAATGTATAAGATTGACTGCATGTTTTGATGGAAATATACTCTTTAAAAAAAGAAACGCATCGTGGAGTTTTAGTGACACATTGAACATAAAGATTATTTAGTAAAATAATGCATTGATAAAACAGAAATGTGGTAAGCAACAGGAATACTATCTAAATGTTATAATTACTCAACAATTTTAAAATTATAGTCAGTTTAAGACCATTAAAGATCAATATCTGGTATGCCCCCGCAGACACAAATGATAGCCACAAACGGCATCTAATGGAAGCAAATGTGTGTAATAAAAACTGCATAGGAATACTCTCCCACTCCAAATGTAGAATTTTAGCCAGCTGTTGCAGAGTCTGGGGATGCGATTGTCTTTGGCAAACCATGTAAATCCCTTTTTTCCAATGCTGCTTAATTTGCATCAAATCTAGCGATTTAGATGACTGTGACTGAAACAGGTTGTTGTTTCTTTGCAAGAATAGGTGTGTCAAACGACCCATATGTGGCTGTGTATTGTGAGATTACAATACGGCTCTAGAATGCTGCAAAATTGAATGGGTATGTGTAGGTAGAACATGGTTAGAGTACCTTTTTCCACCAAAGTCCATTGAATTCGAACCAAATCAATCTTACGTTCTTATAATACCATTTTCCATATCATTACACTACCACCACCAACTTTTTTAACGTCCAGGAGGCAGTTATCTATCTAACCTTCATTAAAAAGCATTAGCACTCTTAAACTTATAAGAGGCTTTAGATAAACATTCTGGACTAGTAGGTGAACCAAAATGTTCAGCAGTGATGCTGTGGTCATACTCTATTCATCTGAGATCTTTGAAGTCGATATTTGGGGTGTTGTAGGGTCGGAACAACGGCATGAATAATCCTTTTGCAATAATTCGTAGTCAACTGAAAACGGTCTTGTTAGATGATCTGTGCAGTTCAGGGTTAGCTAATGCTTTAGATGACGTCCTTGCATTACATTCTTGCAATTCGCGTAATCCTCGGAGGTGATGCTGTGCTGCTGATGTCATACGTAGTCTACCATATTTTTTGCGAACATTGGGTGTTCGATGTTAATGGATTATGTTTTATAGGTTAGATATGGTCTATGTGTAACATTTAAACCTCTTGCAACTGTAGATTGCGGTACCCCTGCTTCCAGTCGCCCATTTTCATTTTTGTGCCACGCAACATTCAGATGCAGCAATTTAAGGAAGCGTCATTTTTCAGATAAAACCAGATTCAAAATATCGAGAACCCCCGCTTTTGATAGCCCCTTTGTACCAGAAAGAATTGCATCGTAATTCAACAAATGAAAATTGAGATCAAAACTTTGGGGAAAATTTTGCAAAATCATGTCTTTTTGTCTGTGAGACTTGTAGAATAGCTGTAAAGTTAACAATTGCATTAAAAAATCATTCATTTCACTCGAATACATCGTATTCATACAAAAATAAAAGGTATGACAAAACTATCAAAAATTTTTAGGGCATTGTTTCTACTATGCGTTTTTTTTTTTTTTTTGAAGAGTATATTATATTCCTTTATATCTTTAGTACCTAAGGTTAATGAAGCTACAGTTTTTTTTCTTTTTCTTTTTATTTTTATTTTGCTGTTAATTTGCTTTTTATCTATAATGTTTAGTCTGCGTGTGACTTAAGAACATCAATGTAATTATAACTAAGGAGAAAATAAAGAGAAAAAATATAATTTATTATACTTAAGAATGCATGTAAACTTTGTGCACACTTATTGACAATAATATTGCTACAATATGAATTTACAAAAAATAAAAAAAAAACAGCAGATTTGCAACAATTACAATACGTACACACAGTTAATCTAAAAATATATAGAAAACACAAATTGTGAATAAACCATATAGAGGTTATTTTATATATATTTGAAATATGATCATGAAACAAACATAAGCGGGAGAAATAATTCTACGTTTCCCGATTCACGCTTCATGGGTATTTAAATTCACCTGTTATCAGCGCTAGTCGATTTATTTCGATCGACTCTATAGTAACGTACAGGATCAATAACAGAGCACTTTTGTAAACAGGATGTAAATTCAATGATGCCGAATATTTACCTATCCTAATGGCGACAGGATTTTGAAGGAAGTTTAATATTTTTGGGGAATGTAAGGTAAATTTCATGTGTATTATTTTTCTACAGATGAAGTTTCTATCATTCTTAAATCACGAAAACAACGTAAAGTTTAACATCTATTTTTAGCAATGGCGACATACAAAGTATTGATGTTTATTACGTTATGCGGAGCAACTGGTATGTCTATTTCTATAGCATATTTAAAAATTTTAGTGTATGATCACAAAGCATGCATTTCAAATGTAAAAGACATAAATTATATTTATTGAGTACATCTAATCTGTCATATGATCCCATGTTATTGTCATGTTTTAGGTTCTATATCTCCATGCAATGACGTTTCAGGTGAGTGTCATTTAATTGTTACATCTCAATACCAGCATTGTACTTGCACTTTAAAAGCGGGTTTCCTATTTTAGCGGCTTTGGCGCTGATACCCTGTTGTGTGAATAAAAGTAATTTTAAAATATTATAGAGTACAGGACACAGTCATGTGTTCAGGATTATTCATGAAAACCAGTAATTATGCTTAATCCTTAATATGTTAAATTATGCAGACAAACAATATATTTGTGAATTAGAGAAAAAAGAAACAGGTATTTTCAAATGTAACAAATATTGAGATATATTGATAAAGAGAAAAACATGAATTCAGCTTAATAAATTCTTATGGTTGTTTCAACCCTCCATATATGCATGTATATATTTATATTTTTCAATGTTTTGAAAGTAATATTTATTTGTACATGTATAACTTTGATCTTTGTATTGTGGAGAGGATTTATATAGGCAGTACCTGCTGTCCGATCCTATTATGTTCATTCATTATAAAATATTGTTTAAATTAATTCTCCATAGACATATGCTCATCGGCAAATTCTTCAACACTGCCTGAAGATTACTCACGATCACAAAACTGCATTTATAACTCAACGTATAAATTAAGTGATCAAAACCTAAACCAACAGTGGTACAAGTCTAACATAAGCATGCCTACACGCTGTCCTGGTTTATTAGAGTGTGGGGCTGTCTATCCATTGTGGTTGAATGGTGAGTACAATACTGTTCACAGGGACATTTTCGCCCGTTTTTTTCGCCCCTTTTGCCACTTCATGTTTGGGCGAATTTAGAACGATGCGAATTCAAAGAAAACAGTATAATTTCTCAAACAGAACCACGGAACGGCGAATTTAAAACGGGGCAAAATTCGTCACGGGTGCAGAAGGGCGAAAATTAGATGGGGAGAAAATAACACTATATGCAGTACTTTCCCGTATTTTAATGAATTAAACAGCTGATACAAATTTAAGTTTTAAAATTGAAAATAACAACTCGAGGCATGTTTAATGAATAAAGTAAACAAGTTTCACTGCGTACCTTTTTGGTATTTTATTCAAAGTGTCACAATACTGGGATTTGAAGTGAAAATACGTGTATAATTCAGTAAAGATTGTTGCAAAAAATGTATAATTATGAACACCATAGACGGTTTGCGATTTCTTAATATTTTAGAAATTTATTAACTGTATCATTTGCAACAAATATAGGCCCAGAAATAAATACTAATCCAGGCATCCATTGTTTTTGTTTGAATCATCTGTTCTTCACGTTATATGAATTTGTTGCTCTTTGAATCTGTTGCTCTTTGTCAACCATTCAGAAAAAAATATTTATACGCGTAATTTTTTTAAAACATATATTTACAATAATTTGTTTTAAATATATATCAGGAACTATACCGGAAGAATCAGATGGTGCTGTTAATAGAACTGTGTGTAGACGTGGGAGAACGCATTGCTGTGAAAAAACTTATGATATTAGAATCCAAAACTGCAGCTCATTTATTGCTTACTGCTTATTACCAGTAACGGAAAGGGACGAAAGATATTGCTTCGGTGAGTCATCAGAAAGGATTTTCCTGTCATTCATATTAATGACGTTAAAGCAGAAATTTTACCAAGATTCAGTTTTGACACTTTTAGCAAGGATGTTGAGATCGATAAAATTTGATATTGCTAACAATTCATTACCACATCTGAGGAAATTGTTATCTTTCAAGGCATCCGAAAATTCAAAATTTAACTTCTTTCTAAAGCTAAATGCCAAATTCGTAAAGAAAAATTGCTTAATATGCATCTCGCTGAAAAATCCACTAATAATGTATGCATGTGCCGAAAGTCAACTGTAAAATGTATTTAAATTCATAGAACAATTTCGTCTCTTGATTTCAAATATGAACAAAATTTTAATCCTGATTAAAGCAAAAATTTAAACAATAGGGCAAAATGGAACCTGTCTCGCTCCTCCAACTCCAAAAACCAACAGCTCCAGTCAAAACGGTAAGTTTTTTCTTGTACATGTATTCCTTCAGAAGAAAATGTATTTGATTTAATTACATGTACTAACTAGACACAACAATACGTGTCTAAATACGCATTTAAACGCGAATTTTATACAATATATTTTCTTTAAAATTTACAATAATTAAACAAGATCGTCATTAATCCGTTGTTTTAATTCTCAGGAGAGGGTCTATGGAGGATTATCCACTACAACACTGGCTGTAAGTTTATTGTTTCTTTAAAATATGTCATAATGATCATGAAATTACTTTTGAAATACTTTACTTTGTAAGTAATCGCTGTCATAATGTATCGTGGCTGTATTTTTTTTTCATGAAATACTTTACTTTGTAAGTAATCGCTGTCATAATGATCGTGGCCTTCTTATTGAAATACTTTACTTTGTAAGTAATCGCTGTCATAATGATCGTGGCCTTCTTATTGAAATACTTTACTTTGTAAGTAATCGCTGTCATAATGATCGTGGCCTTCTTATTGAAATACTTTACTTTGTAAGTAATCGCTGTCATAATGATCGTGGCCTTCTTATTGAAATACTTTACTTTGTAAGTAATCGCTGTTATAATGGTCGTGGCCTTTTTATTGAAATACTTTACTTTGTAAGTAATCGCTGTCATAATGGTCGTGGCCGTTTTTTTAAATAATTTACTTGTGAGGATGATTCCACTACAAATGCCATAATGGTTATTGTTACTTTGTAAGTAATTACTTTCAAATTGATTGTAGCCTTCTTACTGAAATACTTTACTTTGTAAGTAATTACTTTCAAATTGATTGTAGCCTTCTTATTGAAATACTTTACTTTGTAAGTAAGATCTGTCATAATGACCGTGGCCTTCTTATTGAAATACTTTACTTTGTAATAACAGCTGTCATAATGACCTTCTTACTTTAAACATATTTTATTGAACTTTATAAATAATTACTTTCAAATTATGTAAACCCTCTCCTTTTATATTGGTCAAATACAACTTTGTAAATAATACATGAACATGATAATCAATAAAATCATAATGAAATAAACTTTACAATCAAGTATTATTTATCAATATTATATCTCAAAAAAAAAAATACTTCACTGTATAATTATTTACATGTCATAAAATAATACAAATATTTAAAAAAAAAATTATGCATTTAATAGAATATTTAATATAACAGTGTCCCTAATTTAGTCTTTTAGAAGATTCAATAAATTCTTGTACATATGAAAATATTTTACAATTTGTTTGATAAGAGTATTGAGATTTTCCTCGTAAGCAACAGCTGTCAAAAACTTCTTCTAAAATACTTTACTTTGTCAGTAATAGCTGACATAATGACCTTGACCGTCTTACTGAAATACTTTACTTTGTAAGTAATAGCTTTCATAATGGTCTTGGACTTCTTACTGAAATACTTTACATTGTAAGTAACAGCTGTCATAATGACCGCGGCTTTCTTACTGAAATACTTTACTTTGTAAGTAACAGCTGACTTGATAACCTTGACCCTCTTACTAAAATTCTTTACTTTGTAAGTAATAGCTGGCATAATGGCCTCGACCTTCTTAATTAAAGACTTGACTTTGTAAGTAATATATGTCATAATGAAGCTGGTCATTTTTACTGAAATACTTTACTTTGTAAGTAACAGCTGTCATAATGACCTTGACCTTCTTACTGATATACTTTAATTTGTAAGTAATAGCTGTCATAATGGTCGTGGACTTCGTTCTTAAATACTTTACTTTGTTACTAATAGCTGACATAATGACCGTTGTCTTCTTACTGAAATACTTTACTTTTGTAAGTAATAGAATAAACAAGAATTCTGTAAGTGTAAGAGAGTTTTGGATGGATTTTTTTTTATTTCTTACAGCAGAATAGCATGATTCAAATACTAGAATTACATAAAAGTGCATTGTATTAGCAGGGGTTATCATAAAAGTTTGTGGACTAGCGCCATAAAATTAAAACTACTTGAGCTACATAAATGAATTTTAATATATTTTATTACATGTAGCATAAAATTTTCTATCTAAAGAATAGTTCATAAATCATCTTTTAATTTTTGTTTTTAAATTCTTAATGTTTTGTAAGCATTGGCGGTGAATGTCAATCTCAGGTATGATGTCGTTTTCCTATCCGAGTGTAACTGAGAAAAACTCTTTTGAAATAAGTATTTTCCACAAAAAAATCTTGTTAATAAGAATTGTTAACGTTGTACGGCAGCACTGTTTCATAAAATATACAAGTATCGTTTCATTTTTTTACATTCTATAAAGTTTGGCACATGGCAAAATCTGTTTTATACCTAGGAAAGACACATATGGAGATAACGAACAGTATTAAAGATCAAAGGTCCATAAAACAATACAAAATTGTAGCAGAGCAAACACAGACCCCCGAAACATCAGAGGTAGGATCAGGTGAAATGGTGGAGTGAGCATCCCCTGCCGACCGGTCACAACCGCCGTGTGCTCCTTGTCATGTTCGGGAAATTTGTCGTCAAATCAGTGAATAAAAAATGGACTAACAATAAGTATGAAAAACGTCAGTCTGCATTTGACTCAATGATAAATTGTTTTTGCTGACAAGGTTATTTTATCGACCATAGAATGAACGAAATGATGAATTAAAACAAGACTGCTAATATTCTTGTTTCATCAACTTATTTGTCAATAATTTTCCTCGTTTTAGAAATTGTTCATATGTAGAGCATTCTCTTGCCCATCGAATCAAATGTTTAAACGATAATTGAACGACGCAAAAAAAAATGTTGATTTGTGGTCAGTATAGAAAATTAGTTATATCAAAAAATGACACTGATCATGTGGATGAAAATGTACCTCCAACAAGCTTTAAGTATTTTGGCATAATAAAGTGAGACCATTTCCCAATGTATACATCCAATTTAAATATAAAATAAGAAAAAAGCAGCAGCTGATCATGTTTTAGAAAAGTCTTATGGACAAGAAGGGCATAAGTCTTGAATTTACCCCGGGTAATCTCATCAATAATGTTGTGTGATTGATTGACTCATTCGATAATATTTCACTTATATATTGACGTCACCGTATGCCAGTGAAAAGCTTCAGTTTTGAAACCTCTACTCGGCAATCAGGACCATTTAATAAAGGGTTCTTTATCGTGCCAACGCTTACCGTGACAAGGAACCTACGTATTTTAGGTCATATCCGAATGAGAGGTGACTTTCAATTCTAATGCCTAGCGCTTAGCTAAGGAACAGTGACTACCTATGTTAACGTGTTAACGAGAATCGAACCCGGGCCTCCCAATCACGAAGCGAACGCTCCATCACTAGGCAACTGTTACTGGTCTATAAGGGTGCATGAGGGCAATAACCCCGAATGATCATATATCTTTCATATTTTAGTATAATTTGGCAAATTGTCAATGTATATATATGAAGCTAATATTTTCAAACGTTTGTTTCTATTTCATTATTTTATAATGTATGTTCTGTACAAAGTTTGTAATCATAGACTTCATAGTATCAATTTTATACCATCAGTCCTCGAACTTTTTTAAATAAGTGCCAATATTACGTATGCAATAATTGTTAAAGAAGAGATTTAGACGATTTGTTTTTACATATTTTATTTAAGCAGATTTTATTAAGATGAAACTCTTTCTTGTACATTTAGTCATTTTTCATAAACAGTTTAAACTGTGAAGGTAATGTCTTGTAGAACTTTAATGCACTAATATAACATTTATTTGATTTCCTTACAGACGGGATTTGCCATGTTCATTTCAACAAAAAGTCTTGCCCAAAAAATGATTGGTTTCCTTGCAATGTACATGGATTACATCAAAAGAATTTTTGGTTTTGATGAGAGAGAGAGAATTTTTTTTCTAATTTTTAGTCTATTCATAGTACGATGTAACGAGGAAAAATGTTTTCGAAAGTGTACGTTGAAGAAAATATAATTAAAACTTTTTAAATATTCTGATGTAAGAATGAACTTTGAGCCTGGCATGTTTCAAAAACCTGTATTGCTTTGACATTATGGTTAGGCATATTTTCTGTCCTAAGAACAGATCTACAGCCACAGGAAATTATACGGGTATACTCATGATAACAATAGTAAAGAAGAATCAATATGCTGAATAGTTAATGATTAACTTATGTAATATAACTTTACTATTGAGAAGAAAAGACATTTTACAGCTAGAAAAATAAGGTTGCTGATATATTTAGTAACGTATGTTTAGTTGTCTTTTTTTAGGTCAGGTGACCTATTGCTATCTGTTTTTGTGTGCCATCGTGCGTCGTCCGACGTTATTCACAATTCATATACAATGTAAACCGATTTTCGTCAATAAATCTTTAAAAATTTTAACATTTACTCAAAGTACATTGTTTCATCACCTGCATACGGGGTATATATATCTCAGTTGATTCGATACGTAAGAGCATGCTCTAAGTATGAACAATTTCTAAAAAGAGGTAAATTATTGACAAGCAAGTTGATGAAGCAAATATATCAGCAGTCTCGTTTAAAGTAATCATTTCGTAAGTTCTATGGTCGATACAGTGACCTTGTCAGCGTATACAATTTATCATTGAGTCAAATGCTGACTGACGTTTTTCATACCAATGGTTAGTCCATTATTTATGCACTAATTGACTACGGATGTTTCCGTTATTTCCTAATAATGACAAGTAACACACGGCGGGTGTGGCCGGTCGGCAGGGGTGCTCTCTCCTCCACGGCACCTGATCCCACCTCTGATGTTTCGGGGGTCCCTGTTTGCTCTGCTCTTATTTTGTATTGTTTTATGGACTTTGAGATTAAATACTGTTCGTTATCTCCATATCTTTCCTTATTATAGTCTGGAGCCCCTCTTGTGGCTGTTTGATATTTGAATCATGTAAATGCAAATGCAACCCTGGTGCGCTGTCTATGAGCAGTTGATAAAATCAACTCAAAAAGAAACACCGGTGTAGAAGAAGAATTTAAATAAAAACTGAACTTAAATACCAAATTTGCAATGGATATAAATACAATGGACACGTGTATGTTTTCTTTCGCCAACAAAACAAAAAAAAAAAAAAACAGGAAAGATTTATATTAAAAACATATACTCTATTTACTGTATGAACTATGTTAAGGATGAACAAAATTTGCACACACAGCATACGCTGTTTTGAAGTTTTTAAATTTTCAGGACCACTTTGGTGAATAGCATCTTAACTTAACTCCCAAAAATATAGATAGTTTTAAAAGAGTATGATTTTTTGAATAGTGTTTCTGTTTCATGT